CCCGAGCCGGGACTCCAAGCGGCCCCCGCCTCAACTCGGCCCGGACAGCCTCCCCGTGCCCGCTGGCGCCGACCGTTGTCGCCACCCTGTGCTTCCCCCGTCCCTGGCCCTCTGTGCGGGCGCTTCTGCCCTCGCGCCGGCGCCCCTGCTCTCTTCCCCTGACCCGAACAGCCCCTTGGACGATTCTCCTCCCTCAAGGGCTCTCCTGGCCCGCCTATCTCCCCCTCAGGTCCCACCCTCCGAGCGGGTCATCCTGCCTCCCCTGAGCGACTCTCCGAGTCCCCCACGGAGCCCACCCTTACTTGCCGGGCCTCAATGTGTTCCCTCTGCATTCTCTCGCCTTTTGCCCCTCGGGGTCTCTGCCTGCCTCCTGCCCACCGCTGTCCTGCCCTGCTCTCCGGGACCCTCATCCCCGGCCGGTTCTGCGTAACTTGCCACCCACCCAGCCCTGCCAGCCCATTTCCCCCCCGCCCCCGATTTCCATCTCCCGCACGGGTTTCTCCTTCCCAGAAGCTCAGCTCCTCCTCTTCTGCCTGACCCTGTTGCATCACCCTTGAAAATGCCCTGCACCCAGGGTCGTTCCTCTGAACTCCTTTCTCCTCCTTTCCTTCTCTTCTCATTACACAGACTAATTGGAGAAAGGTCATGAGAGTTGGGGATAAAGTTTCAGCAACCTTCCCTTTAAGAAGATGTGGAGGCTTTTTGACAGCCTGTGAAAAGAACCGCTTCTGCTTTGCAGCCAACATAAGCAATGTTATGTTGCTCAATAATTTGGGCATGAGGGGGTTGGCTGGCAAAACAGGTCGCAGAGAGTGATTGTTGTTGGAATTGGTCGCCACAAAAATTGGGGGCTAGTTTTTCACTTAGTTGTCACTCCTTATTACAGGCTGGAGTTGGTGATGGTTATTAATACCCTAACCAGACTTTGAATCTCAAGTGGAGAGTGATCCAGGGTTTGGCTCCACAGTGGCCAGTATTTTTCAGGAGGTAGGGTTGTGGGGAGCTACCAGTCATCATGGGACACCCAGTCCCTGCTCATGTCTTTCTGGGTCTTCTCATTGCATGGGTAAGTGGTGTGTGAGACACTGTTCCTAACACCGCTACCCTTTTCCTGGCTGACCCTGGTTTATTTACTGTTACTTTAATCTTTGTATTTTGATTCAGTTACATCTTTTGGTTAATTACCACATTACAAAAGAAAAAAATTGGAGGCTAGAGCTGGAAAGTGCCTTTGGACACTTTATTCAGTTTATTAACCTAATACACTCTTTTCCAGGTAGTGCTAATCTGGGTGTTTCATGAGTCTGGTTGTTTGTGTAAAGATTTAAAAGTATTTCAGGCATGACCAAAGATTGCAGAACGCGACAGAAAATTTAGCTAGAGGAAAACTTTACTAATTTGAACAGACATAAAAGTTTAGCGCTTACAGATGACCCCACCTTACAGCATTGTATTTAAGAGCCTGGTCTCTTTCTGATGTAGTTTCTTCTTCTTCAAAATGGGGGTAATAATATCTACTTCAAAAGGTTATTGTGAGTTTTTTTTTCTTTTGAATTTGAGTCTCACTCTTGTCAGCCAGGCTGGAGTGCAGTGGCACGCTCCCGGCCACCGCAGCCTCCACCTGCTGGACTTAGGCGATCCTTTCGCTTCAGCCTTCCAAGTAACTGGAACTACAGACGCACACCACCACACCTGGCTAATTTTTTTTTTTTTTTGAGTTGGAGTCTCACTCTGTCGCCCAGACTGGAGTGCAGTACTGCTGGGCTCCGGTGATCCTTCCGCCTCAGCCTTTCAAGTAGCTGGAATTATAGGCGCGTGCTACCATACCCGGCTAATTTTTGATTTATTTTAGAGATGAGGTCTTGCCAAGTTGCCCAAGTGAGTCTCGAACCCACGGGCTCAGGCAATCCACTCACCTCAGCCTCCCAAAGGCGCGGGATTACAGGCTGAGCCACCGAGCCCGGCTGCTAATTTTTGATGTATTGTAGAGATGAGGTCTCGCCAAGTTGCCTGGGCTGGTCTCGAACCTGTAGGCTCCCAAAGTGCTGGGATTACAGGCTGAGCCACTGTGCCTGGCCTATTGTGAGTTTTATGTGTTGATGTAGGGACTTAGCACAGTGTCTAACATATAGGAAGTACTCAGTAAAACATGGTTTTTTTTGGACCTTCTCTCCAGAAAAATCCATATATGCGGATAATTTTTTTTTTTTTTTGAGTTGGAGTCTCACTATGTCTCCCATACTGGAGGGCAGTGGCATGATCACAGCTACCGCATCCTCGACCTTTTGAGCTCAGATGATCCTTCTGCCTCAGCCTTCCAAGTGGCCAGAACTACAGACACACACCACCACGCCCAGTTGATATTTTGACTTATTGTAGAGACAAGTTCTCACCAAGTTGCCCGGGCTAGTCTCGAACCCCTGGGCTCAGGCAGTCCTGTCACCTCGGTCTCTCAAAGTGCTGGGATTACAGACGTGAGCCTCCGTGCTAGCCAGACAGGTAATTTTTAATATAAGTTTGGGTAGGGGAGGAGTTATAAAACCTGAAGCACTTGCCTGAACCCTTCAAGGCATCCTGAAACCGGGTGAATAATTCCTGATGTAGTTCAATGCCTCATTTTATGACTAAGGAAGTGCAAGCCTAGAGAGGATAAGTGACTTGTCCAAGATGCACAGGAAGGTGAGGTAGGGGAATGGAATGCATCTTCCTGACTCTGGCATACTTCCCCCTCTAGTGTACACATATTCTCTGCATCCTCCACAAACAGAGTTTTTAAGGAAAAATTTTAACAGTATATGCTGATATATTGAGTGAATCCTTGGCGAACAAAGTGTCTTTTTTTAAGATGAACTAGGAATAAGACAGACATTGGGGGAAATTTTTTATTTTCTCAGCATTTATCAGAGGACTGAGGAAGAGGAGGAGGAGGAGTAAGAGGTTGTGTTACAGCTGCAATTTCGGGATCCAGGAAGAAGGTGCTAGGATATGAGTCTGGTTGGGAGAAAGGCCAAACTCCTGAGCCCTTTTGATTGTTTAGTTTGGAAAAGCTGCTTAATCACATGTGACATTTATACCTCTATAGTCTCCACCACACACACACAGGCTGGTCACCCTGGGGAGGGACTATGGGTCTGTGGCTTGCCCCACCTGATGAAGAAAGAGAGAAGGCAATGTATACAGAGTTACTGTGTTAAATAAATATTGTAGGTGTCTGATAATTACTTGTTACTGATAATGACAGTGCCATCTGACCTGGAAGAGAATATTCTACAGCAGAAAGGATAGCCCAGTGTCTCTCATATTATGCCTAGTTTGGGCATTAAGTTTTTCAGTTAATGAAGTGTCTTGTTGGAATGCATGCTCCTTGTTAGTAGGTTATTCTGGTGAACAACATTTGGGGAGAATGTATTTAGGATGTTTTCTAAATGCCTACTATAGGCCAGGCACTGATCTGGGCACTGGGGATGCAGCAGGGGAGAATTGTAAATGTTTTTTAAAGGTTTTATCCTTGGATTGGATGACTGTTGTTCAGTCCAGATAGCTTTAATGAACAATATTCATTTATGTAGAACTTGGAGGAAAACTTTACTTAGAAGCACACAGTAGGCTGGGTGCTCTCTAACTCAAGCACTTTGGGAGGCCAAGGTGAGAGGGTTGCCTGAGCTCAGAGGTTCGAGGTCAGCCTGGGGAACTTGATGAGACCACATCTCTACAATAAATAAAAAAATTAGCCAGGTGTGGTAGTTCTCACCTGTAGTTGCAGCTACTTGGAAGGCTGAGGCAGAAGGATCACCTGATCCCAGCAGGTCAAGGCTGCGGTGGCCATGAGTGTGCCACTGCACTGCAGCCTGGGCAACAGAGTGAGACTCCAGCTCAATAATTAAATAAATAAATAAATAAGCAAACACAGTAATTTGAAAAATATTCACAACTGATTTTTCACTGTCTTATCATGTTTTAGATAATCTTAGCTAGTGACTTTCATTATACAAGTAAGAAGAAATGTGATTGTAAAGAACGTAAAGGAACTGTAGCTAATAAAAAAGCATGGCCTCTGGTACGAAACATGTCAGATTCACTTTCAGCTCTGCCATGGATGAGCAGGGCAGCCTTCCTGAGCCTTAGTTTACTTATCTGTAAAAGTTAAGAAGGAAGAATAATACATATAGTGTATTTTTTGGAGGAATGGGCACAAAGTTTTTATGACATGTAAGTAGGTGTTTAATAAAGAGTAGCTATATAACATGGCCAGAAAAGTTAGGAACACTAAGGTGTATGGATGGTGGAAACCCAACTGGCTCTTTTAGAAACCCATCAGGAATCTTGTTTACTCTAAATGACTGCAGGAAATATGAACCTGAATGAGATGTGACTGATAGACATAATAGATTTGTTTAAAATTTTTAAATTTTAAATATGTGGGGTGCATTTTCTAGTAACAGTCAAATTATATATGTCTCTCCCTTTCTCATTTTGTGTTGCTCCAGAATAAGTCTTATGACGATTTAATCCTCGTAATACGCAATAACCCTATGAGGCTCTTTTTTTTTTTTTTTTTTACTGGAAGTCTCTGTTGCCCAGGCTGGAGTACAGTGGCATGCTTTCAGCTACCATAGTCTCAACCTGCTGGGCTTAGGTGATTCTTTTGCCTCAACCGTTCAAGTAGCTGAAACCAGAGATGTGTGTGCCACCATGCCTGGCGAATTTTTTGATTTATTGTAGCAACGATGTCTTGCCAAGTTGCCCAGGCTGGTCTTGAACCCCTGACCTCAGGCAGTTCTTTCACCTCCGCTTCCCAAAGTGCTGGGATTACAGGCGTGAGCCATTGTGCCTGGCCTCATATTAAGCTCATTTTATAGATCAAGATATGAGACCCAGAGATTAAGTAACTCGTCCAGTAACTAGTAAGCGATAGATATTCAAATGCTGGCATTTTAATTCCACTGCTGTGCCCTTTAACCACTCTGCTGCTCTAATGCCTCTCATCTATTGAGTGTTTCAAACTGAATGTACCCATGTCACCAGCACTCACCTGAAGAAACAGACTATTTCTAGCACCTGAGAAGCCTCCCGCCCCTTACCCTGTGCCTCCCAGTCATCACCTCCACCAAAAGGTAACTACTCCTGTCCTTATTTTTTTCTCTCTTTTTTTTTTTTTTTGAGTTGGGTTCTTCATTGCTGCAGTGGCACACTCACGGCCACCCCAGCATCGACCTGCTGGGCTCCGGTAATCCTTCCGCCTCAGCCTTCCAAGTAACCAGAACTGTAGGCGTGCGCTACCACGCCTGGCTAATTTTTGATTTATTGTAGAGATAAGGTTTTGCGAAGTTGCCTGGTCTCGAACCCGCAGGCTCAGGCAATCCAGTTGCCTTGGATTGCAGGCTGAGTCTCTGACCCCAGCCCACCCAGCTGATTTTTGTGATTTA